CTAGAAAAGAAAGCCCAGGACAGAGTGTGTTGGAGAATGCTGGTCGGTGGCCTATGCTCCATTGGGAGTAACAGGCGTAAGTAAGTAAGATTTCATCGGAAACATTCCAGAAAACTCTCTACAAAACCGTTTGTATTAACAGATGTCAAATTAGAAAAACTGTTTGTAGTAATAAGAGTTTGAGTGTATTAGTGTTCAGTGACGAAAATGTTCTTTTCAATGAAATTATTTGCTTAAGCTATACATTCGTATTCATAGCTAAATAAGGTCTCCAATCAATTTATGATGCAATCTTTCCTATCTTTCTACAAACATATATTTTCTATATAACTATAAATACGAATGTATAGCTTAAGTAAAGGATTTCATCGGAAAGAAAATTTTCTTCGCTGAATTCTCTTTATTTTATTCAGTGACACAATGGGCTATTTTAATTATATTAATGTTCATTTCAAGTTGAGAGTGTCCATATAGGTGATTGGACAAAATCATTCGATAACGTAGTAATTTTAAAACAGACATGTATTTTAAGTTAGACCACCCAAACATGTTCTTTGGGTGCACCTTGGATTATCAACCGTTCTGTGTGCTATTAAGGTCCTACTTTCTGAATACCCATAGAAGTTGTGTTACTTTTACTAATTAGGATATGAAAATTTCCGTTAGGTATCGTATTATTTGAAATAATATCTATGATGAAACGAACTATTAATTCCATTGTAAAATGTAACAAAAATGCATATCATTCTAAAGTTTCCTATAGAGCATAATGACTATAGTGCGCATCAACGACTTCGCCTTGTGAGATTCGAACCCAGGTTGAGCACTGAGGAGTCCCACAATAAAATGAAACAGACGTCCAGTGCTTCCATGTTTCCCTGGTAGTCTAGCTTCAATTGACTCACGCTTTCAACTATGAAAATACTAAGTCTTCACACAAGCCCTTTCTGATAATACATGTAGTTCTCTTTTTTTTTAAAATACGTTTTCTACAAATATGACTTCATATAACAAATCATTAGAGATAATTATATAAAGTATGTTACATACATTTCAAAATCATGTGATACAAATATTTTAATTGGGGTGATACAAAAGATTTACCAATGAGTGCTTAAATAAACTTTCAGAGTATAGAATTTCTTTTTAAACAACATTTGACTACCAGAATAGACTAAATTAAAGCATCAATAGGTCATGGGCTTGAATCCCGCGGATGAGATCGTGGATGTGGACTGTTGAGCTGTTTCATACTAGAACCGTACGGTGGTTCATTGCTTTCAGATTTCCTATGGTGATCTAGTTTTAAATGACTCAACTATTATAAAATAATTATCCATTATCTGTTCGTTTATTACAAACAGTAGTATTCCTAGCTTACCCTAATTAAATACAGCCATAGCCTTATTCAGTATGCATCATTCTAAACCAAGACATGTTATAATTTATTACAAAATTGTCAGGTATAATTCCATAATTTTTAATTACCTAAAACATTCATTCATACATTTATTTGTAAAAGATTCCTTAAGTATTTCACTAACAATTTAAAAAAAATATAATCAAGAATTAACATCACCATGGTGACTTTGAATATTTAGGTTTCCATTTGTATGGATACACTTCAGATAGGTGACTACCTAGATTAGTATTATTACTAAAAAAATAGATGGATATTAATAATGAACTTAAAAAAAAACGTAATGCCAAAATAGACCACTTGAAATAATCTTATTCAGACGTGATAAAGAGACCAAAAGTGCCAGGAACTTGTGTAATTAACAGGATACAGTCTTAACTAAATTGAGATATAAATTAAATAGATAGAAAGCCTGGGATATATTCAGTGACTGGATGAATTTTTTCGATTCAATATATTGTATAAGAGGATTTGTAGTGTCGCGATTCGTTAATCATTTACTTCGGTAACCGTTATAATTCTAATCTTAACGGTGTATAAAATCAGTAGACAAAGGATAGCAGCAACTACAGTTTATTGTCGAATAACTCAGGTCAGAAAGTTAACAACACCTGAGCGAACATTAACGAGCGAGCGAGTGAACGGGCGAACAAGCGAAGGAAGCGAATGAGCGAGTAGCAAGCAATTACATAAGTAATTTATAGTCAAATTGAATAAGTGCACAACAAAACAAAACATATTTGCGTGAATACATATATGGGGAGGAGTATGAGTCATCGAATGATATTTAAGTAGTCAAGATTTTGGTTAGAGTGTCATGTGCTTTAGTGGTATAACAGTGCAAAAAATATGCAAATTGTTACTATCCGAATGACGATGTCTGTTATGTAAGTTAATTAAAAGGTCTTAACCAAAATTGACTATAATCGAAATTGATTGTAGGATGGTTGCTATAGTTTTACACATAAAAGATTTTATAGCATACCTTAAGAGTCTCATTCACTAAACCTAAAAGTGTTCCATATTTTGATCAAACAAAATCCCGTTACACCTAACATTTCAAAAGAAGAATTATGAGGTGTATACTCACTTCAAAAAACAGATTTACCGTAATCACAGTAGCTGACAGGCAATACAACAGTTGCCAAAAATAAAAAGAGATTGTGATGCTAAATCCTTTAAATATCTACACACAGAATCGTAGCAAAACATCAATACAAAAAGTCTTCAGATGAATAAAATGAGGTCCTAAATCATGAGCTACATTATACATTTACTGATTGCCTAACTTTCATAAACTAGAAATCCCATTAAGATCTATGGTGAACATCATGAACACCGCTACTTATGCGTTGTCTAATTATCCGAACAGTATATCACAATCACTTCAACATATCTTGCATAAGAATAAAATCATGGTGATGAGATGGTGGCAAAGACTTATAGCTCAGATGGACGACTGTGGTGGAGTTTTGTTTTTTGAGCTGGATGGTTTGGTTATGGAGATTTCATCGTCTTTCTGAACGACATCATCAGCACAAACTTCAGGTAAAAATGAAGTGTTCGAACGTCTCCACATATGACTCACAGCTTGTCTTGAAGATATTGATCATGATTAGCTATTGTTAGGTTTTGGCCTGCCATTGTTTTCCTCTTTGTTTTAATTGTATCTCCCATTAATTTGGTTCTTAATCCAATATTTGTCCACGAACTTTCTGATTAACCGACAAATTGGATCGATTTCACTGTGTTTATTGACTTCTGAAGGAAATGAGTGTCAAGCCTATAAAAATTCCCTTGTGTTTTTAAAATTCCCTTTTTCGAAGATAGCAAAACTTGTCTAGTCCAATATGTGTCCACATGCATTGATATAAGTGAGGATATCTAATGGCGTTTGACGGCTTATTCATGTTCGTGCTGACGAAGATGAACAGGGTGTCCACTTTTTCCGATGTAGTGATTTTTGCAGTTGGTATAATCAATTTTGTAGGTGACGTTCCTTTTTTCTTCTTTTGTCATTTAGTCTTTTGGTTTGCAGAAAAGGCGACTGGAAAAGCTTTATAAAGTAGCAGAAAATATAAACCACCCATAACTCTGTTTCGTGTGTTTAGAAGAAACTGCCGATAAGATTCAATAAGTGATTTTATCAATTTTCCACATACCGTATTTTTATATAGTTTAAATTGAAGCTAAAACACCATGGAAGACCTGGAAGCATTGGGCGGCTGTTTCATCTTTTTGTGGAACTTCTCAGCAGTGTGCATCCACGATCCCGCCTCGCCTATGACCTATCAGTCTCGCGCGCGAGCGCTTAACCTCCAACAGTGTTAATGTCTAAATTCCACCAATCCACACACCGTATTTGTTTATCATTTTTACTTCTTTCCGTTGATGTTCTTCAATATTTAATCGTTTACAAATCATTATTACTTCATTTTAGTAGTATTTTGTGACTTTTATTTCAAAATCACTTCCTCCTAGTTTGACATACTTCATATGTTGAATTATTGACTGAGACTTATTATTTCATTAATCTAATCACTACTAGTACACCAGTCCGATTGTAAAATTCTTTTGTAAAAGTGATCTTTGATGAAGTATCCGGTAGCCTTAGAGAAATTCCTATCTTTCTCCCCTGTTTAGAATTATTCGCACTCACGTTTATTCGGTAGTGTTATTACTGATAGAAATTACACATTCGACGTGATGTGTTATGTTTTTATGCTTCTCTTTGTCTGCTGTGAATACCTAATACAGGTAGTTTAACAACATGGTGATATTAATCGAAATTTGCTCAGGACCAGTAAAAAGGATTAGATAAGCATGACATTGGTCATTATTCAATCACAAATACCTCTGTCTTACAGGGTGGTAGTAGAGGCCCAAAAGTCTATGCAGGGACATCTCAAGCGTTATATCTAATTGAAACTGAATCATATCTGCCAAGAAGCACAAGTTCCCTTTGTGTTATAAATAAACTTTGCTGATGAATAACATGGTAGAGATTTATAGCTTGGGTGGATGATTTCGATCGAGTTTTGTTCTCTGAGCTGAATGATTTAGTCGTAGAGCTTTCATCGTTATTCTAAACTACATCATCAGCACAAACTTCTACCTATATATTAAAAACATCTACGTTGATGAAATCCCCCCCCAAAAAAAAGAGAATCAAGTTTCACTCAAATAATGAATTGGTAAATTTGATTTATTCTGCTTGGCTTGCAAACTATTCAACCAAAAAACTAATATTATAACAAAAAGGGTACTATTAATATTGAATTTCAAAATGATCAGTTATTTATTTCATATAATTGTACTGCATGAATTATCAAGCGATAACTGTATATGTTTGAAAGAATCTATATGTCAGTATGCCTGGTTGATTGTATGATGTTTTGAAATGAAAGTGGTAAAACGTAACCAAGTGAAATGATTTATATCCCATTGGTGTTTGCTTTAGTGATTGCTTAATGTCACCATATTATACCATTAAAGTTTGAAAAAGATGATCAGACATATAAATTAAAATGATATTTCATAAGTGGTATTCATTTTCAATACCTTGTTCTGTGTACCAATTATGTTTTTCTTTTCATCATCATCATCATCATCATCATCATCATCATCATCATCATCATCATCATCATCATCATCATCATCATCATCATCATCATCATCATCATCATCATCATCATCATCATCATCATCATCATCATCATCATCATCATCATCATCATCATCATCATCATCAACAACAACAACAACAACAACAACAACAACAACAACTGTTGGCGATTATAAAGATAAAAAATAAATGAATAGGGTTAACATTTAATAGACTAGTTTGTCCAAGCATTTTCTTATGTTTTTATAATGAGAAAATAATATCTCTGTCAATTTATCATTGATTAGAAGGAGGATGTGTGGATATTTCAGTATTTTCATAGTTGAAATCATGAGTCAATTGAAGCTAGACCACCATGGAAAAACTAGACTCACTGGACTGCCGTTTCGTCCTATCCTGAGACTCCTCAGCAGTGCACATTCACGATCCGGGTTTTCCATAGTCGTTCAGCTTCAATTGACTCATGATTTCAACCATATGAAATTACTAAAATCTCCACAAAACCGCCTTTTAATAATGATCATATGCCCACTAGTGAATGACTTCAAGAGGTATTTCCTGGAGTTCTAGTGAGAAGCAGTGACCAGTGGAGTTCAACCAGGTCTGTTGGGAGATATCAACTCACTGAAGACATTGGTGAATGGTTGCTTAATTTCGTGAATTGGTTGAAATTAAGCAATAACACCGTTGGTCTAGTGAATTGGTGCTCGCGTACGGGACTGATAGGTCGTGGGTTCAAACCTCGAGAGGTGGGATCGTGGTTGAGCACTGCTGAAGAGTCCCACAATAGGAAGAAACGGCCGTCCAGCGCTTCCAAGTGTACGTCTTATGTAATTTACTAAAAAGAAACAATCAGTAACATTGAGAGCCAAATTTTTACTCATTCTTACAACTATGATAATGAACGCAAGGGAACCTAATGTATAAATGTAATTGATGATTGGGAAATAGAACAATAAATCAACAAATAATAGATTATAAAACCTTATACTTGTTTCCTATGTTAATTTACCTGTTCCTGTTATTATATGCAACTAATCAAGAGGTGAGATAGATGAATAAATTAATTGAAAAATACAAAAAAAAGAAAGTAATTTTCTGGTCAATGAGTTTGTATATGTGCTCTTAATAAGAAGTTAATTATATTAACTTTTGCTGATAATAAACCTTTTACATGAAATTCAAAAGTTTATAATTATGATAACTGATAAGATCTAATGAAAATAAAACAAAAGTGTTGTGGATTTACAGTGGCCAGATCTGACATCTATTTAGATCGTAGCAATGATTGTTGTCAAACTATACATCCTCTCTATCCTCGTATGTTATGCACGATTTAATCCGCGTTGGTCAATAACTTATGCCCGTTACTCCCAATCGAGCATAGGCCGCCGACCAGCATTCTCCAAACCACTCTGTCCTCGGTCTTCCTTTCTAGTTCTATCCAATTTTTGTTCATTCTTCTAATGTCTGTCTCTATTTCACGGCGTAATATGTTCTTTGATCTTCCTCCTTCTAATTGGCATTCAGGATTCAATGTGAGGGCTTGTCTAGTGACGCAGTTGACTGATTTCCTTAATGTGTGTCCTATCTGCTTCCAGCACCACTTCCTGTTTTCTTCCTCCACTGGAATTTGGTTTGTTCTCTCCCACGGTAGGTTGTTACTGATAGTGTTTGGCCAACGGATCCGAAGTACTTGGCATAGATAACTGTTAATAAACACCTGTATCTTCTGGATGATGGTTTTCGTAGTTCTCTAGTTTTCCGCCCCATCATTAGAACTGTCTTGACATTTGTATTGAAAATTCTGTTCTTGGTGTTGGTTGACAATTGTTTTGAGTTCCAGATGTTCTTAAGTTCTAGAAATGCTTCTCTTGTTTGTGAAAAAGGGAATTAAATAAATCGTACACGAGTATGGGTTTTTTTTAATACATATATTTTATACACTCATTGATCTGGATAGGAAATGAAAGGGATGAAGCGAATAGAAGAGAGCGAACCTAAATGACGCGCAGTACAGATGGCGTATGAGCCTCCATTTATATCCAGATAGAAATAAGTTACAGATATTTGATGAATAGGATAAAAAGTGTACACACACATACGCTCATATAATTGAATAATTAACAGAGTCAAAACGTAGCTCAAGATGAATGAGTAAATTGACCTATTCAGAAACTAGAAAAAGGTATATGGGTTTAACATAGCAACCAACACTACAGATTCTTTATCTCTCTTATATATATATATATAGTATACCTATTGAATCATTGTAAGTATCTTCTAATGAATTCTGATATATCGTAATATTATTAGATTAAATCACTAATTTATACCCTTTACTGATGTTTTGATGACAGTTATTTTATATTGTGCATAAATGACGGTGTATAATCTTTTACGGTATACTACTTATAACTATTTTTTTTGAGTTATACACGAAATATTGATTTCGGAGTATATACATTTTGTATTTTAAGAACACTGATTGATGAACAATTTACATGTATTTACCAGTGTCAAATTAACTTTCAAAAATATAGTACACTATTATGATCTATTTCAACTTTTTAGTTGACTGTAATTTCACAAATTACATTCCTTATATTGATATGTTTTTATATTGGTGTATTGCTATAATTCCTACATGAAGTCACGATAGTTGATAGTCTGTCAGTTTAATTTATAATAATTAACATTGATGATATTGTTCTACATCATAACACAAACCAATAGAGAATAGAAAACTGGATACTTGTAATCTGATTTTAAGATCTTAATGTAATTCACATTATTCCACATTAGAAAAACAAAATTATTTCTGTAAATTAACCAAACTTTCCTTTGGTACGGTCGATGGTGGAAAGAGTCCTCTCTCTCCGAATCTTCTCACATGGCCAGGAGTATACAGCCTCTGCCAGGGAAGTCCTACTAATTACCTTCTCTTGGATGGGGTGTTTACAAAGTTGAGAGTATGGAAAGCGAATGTCCATCAGGTTGGTGGACACGGAGGATCCACCTAGGGTAGTAGGAAAACCCTGACTCCAGACCAATGATGAACATGGGCTTCAGTATCCTGAAAGAACAAAAAAAGAATATGAACTAATCGTTGATATCCGGCTATCATCAGACTGCATCTTCTAACTTTGCTCCACTGTCTTGTAGATCAGACCTTCAAGTCCATGGCTCCGAGTGTGCCCCCTAAGAAAACCACCAGCTTCGGTTTAGGCACCAAGGCAGTATTGCAGCCCACACACAAATCAAGTGACTTTTGTGGCGCAAATGTATTCCATACCTTTTCGTACCAATATTTATGTGTTCAAATAAATAAATATACTTTGAAATTTTACAATAAATAATTTTTTTTTAGAATAAGAATGATACAAATTGATAAGATGACTCAAAGTAATACATTGTACTTGACATACAATGAATAACAATTTACAAATACTTAGAATTACAATCAGGCAATAGCATTAAATATATAGATAGCAAGCTAATGAAGAAGTCAACTATACAAATATACACTATACACTAATAGAATAACATCTTAAACATAATTTATTAGAGACAAACGGTTTAGGAAAGTAGATACTAACACAAATGTCATTAAGGCATATCTATATCAAGTAAAGTTAACTTGAATATACCCATCTAATCATAGTATATTTCATTGTTTACTTTATTCATTAAAGTATTGTTTTCATTTCCTAAATCTTGATTATACTGAATTGAAATATAATAAAAACCAAAAAAAAATACATATATAAAGTACAATTCATACTACTGAAATATACTTTAATATATCTAAACTTTACAAATTACACCCAATAGTATAAATAATAAATACAAAAAACCCATTATAATGTAGATAATAGAAGGCAATTATAATAGTTTACCTAAAAGTATTCACTTTATTTGAATCAATTATAATTTCAATTAATTTTTGTAAATGTTTACTTATACTACTACTACTACTACTAACTACTAACTACTGATTACTTATTAAAACTACTTTTTTTTTAGATTACTGTAAATAAAAAAGAAATGAAAAACTATTCATTAATGATATTGATCAACAATAATAGAAATGCAAATATTTGGGTAGTTTAGATGGAATGGAAAGTATTTGATTAGAGTAGTATGATTTCATTTATAAGTAGTAAATGATAGGTATAAAATTATATTGAAATTACTGATAATGACATAATTGATATATATATATGTATATATATACGGTCTGATAATAGTAACATTTCATTATTGGTTCAATTATATTTGTTTTACTAGTCTTAAATGACATGATGTTTTAATAAAAAAAACAGGGTGTTTTTGGGATATTATAGTAATTTAATAGTTGAGATCATGAGTTAATTGAAGCTAGACCACTATGGGAAATCTGAAGCACTAGACGACCGTTTCGTCCTATTCTGAGACTTCTCAGCAGTGCGCATACATGATCCTGCCTCGCGATATTTGAACCCAGGACCTATCGGTCTCTCTCGAGAACGCTCAACCTGTAGACCACTGAACTTGTATGCAACGGTGTTAATGTTTAACTTCAACAAATCCATAAAATTGTGCCACCTTCCACCATTGTCTTCGGTGAGTTAACATCTCTCAACAGACCGCGTTGAACTTCACTGGTCGAAGCGCTATTTCGTGGTCCTTAGTCCGAATCCTAAGAGTGGGATCGTGAATGCGCACTCCTAAGGAGTCTGACAGTAGAACGAAACGGTCGTCCAGTGTTTCCAGGTTTTCCATGGTAGTCTAGCTTCGATCGACTCATGAATCCAACTATTAAATTGATATAATGTGTACTTTAGAATAAAAGAATTATAATTAGATAAGTAACGTTGATTATGTCTAATACATATTTTCTAAATAATATCATAAAATAGAACAGATAAATTAGGGCTATCAGTGGATTGTGGACACAAGTTTCATCTTATTTGAGACTCGTTGACTGAATGAATGTATATTCATTTCAGTGTTTGTATCAATAATGATATTCAAGCCTAGTACTTCAAATCAAATTTTCACCTTAAATACCAACCTGTACAAATAGTTATAATTGAGTTGGATTCCCAAAAATAACTTAAATTTTACCGGTCTTTTCGTATGATAACTGAGTTGGAGAACGTATAACTCTAAAAGACAAATAATACAAAGTATATCTATCTCATGCA